GCTTCCGCGTTGTCGAAAGCACTGCAATCAAGGCGCAATGGCCTGCAGGCCTTGAGGACCTGCGCCTTGTAATTGCCAAACGTCTTGCGATTGCGAAAATGCGTGGCCCACAGCGCGAGCTCAGAAGGGGAGGGCGGCAGCGCTTCGTTGTCGCGCTTGCCCAGCACCTTGGCGGCGAACGCGAAATAACTCCGCAGGGCGCTGCGCCACGTGCCGAAGGATGCCGGCGCCCCGCCCACGAGGGCCGTCGCGCGCGCGGCCTCCAGCCGCGCGGCCCGCTGCGCATCCGAAACATGGCCGTGCGCCTCGGCCGCTGCCCGCGCGCTCGCCGCCGGCCCAGCCCGCGAGCGGCTGGCGCACTCGCGCTCAAAGTACACGGCGGCAGGATAGGCGCGGGCTAGCGCCGCGCGCTGCGACGGCCTTGCACGCGGTGCCGACTCAGAGGAGGAGTCCGAGCTCGACGACGAAACAGACTCGGCGTCGAGGCACGCAGCGGGCTGGCGCGGTCGCGCGGCGGCAGAATGCCCGACCGCGCTGGCTGCCGCGCCCCTCGGCGGCGGGCCGGGCGGAGGGCGCGCCGTGGCCATCCGCTCCAGGATCCGCGCCGCCCCCCCTGATACCGCCTCCGTGCGAACGCGGCGCGGCCGCGCGGTCGCTATGGAAACGCGCGCGAAGAGGGCGCCTCGAAGCCGTTCCACGTCCGGACGGGCGGCAACGCCCCGACGCAGGATACACGGAAAACGTCGTTCTGCCGCATGCACGCCGCGACCTCCTCCGCGGCCGCGGCCGCGCTCCCGCGGCACCATTGCGCGACTTCGTCAAGCAAGCAGGGAGCGGCGGACATTGGCCTCGCGACAGCTTAAGCGCGCGGGGTGCACTAAGCGCCGAGCTGCAGCGGGTGCGCGCATCCCGCTGCACGCCCGCTCCGGGTGAGAGCGCGCGGAAATCCGCCGAGCCGGCGGTCGCGCGCGCGGCAATGCCCGCGCCGCGCGCGCACGCTGCCCGCTACGCGAGCTACCCCGGCAGCTGGAGCCGCTGGAACTGCGGCCACAGCGTCGGCCAGCGCCACGTGGCACCCAAATCGTCGAGTAAACGATACTCCTCGCGGCTGGGCAGATCGGCAATGTTATCGTCTTCGCGCACGCGCAGAGCGCGCGTGTCGACGGCGGTGCGCGGCGGCGCGAGCAGGCGCCCGCAGCGACTCGGTCCACCAGCACCGACAAGTGCATTGCGCACGCGGTCGCCCAGAACGCGTGAACGATCGCGCAATGATCTGGCGCGGCCGCCGAGCCACGACGGAAGGCGCACTCAGCGACCGTGTTGTCACTGTAGATGCGGACGTCGCGGCCGCGGATCCTGTTGCCCCACGTGCACATTGCCAGCCCAACTGCGAGCATTTCCAGCCCGACAATTTGGGCGTCCCGCCGTTCGCGGAATTGCCTTGCGCGCGCTGGCAAGCGATGCGCCAGGGCGGGCACGGGCACGTGAAGCGATGCTGCCCCGCCGTAATAGAGGCCCCGGCGGTTCCCACGCCGTATACTCGACGCGCCCGTCGATGCAAACCACGGCCGCAAGATTCGGCGGCGTGCCGCGCGCGTCCGCGAGAATGACGTCAGGCGGTCGCTCGTCGCCGCCGGCCCAAGCCCTGGTCTCCACTATATCATGGGCCAGGACTTCCGCCCACCAGCGCAGGCAGCACATCGCGTCCGCGGACAGCATTGCCGAGCGGCCGTGCGCGTGCGCGAACAGCGGTCGCAGCATCGCGCGCCCCAACCGGCGGAACTGATGCGATGCACCCCAGGAGAGCGCGCCCGCCAGCTTGGATGCCGCCCCGGCGGTCAGCTCCTCCGCTGCCAAGGCGGCGCGGACCCGCTCGAGCCACTTGGCACGCTTGTCCGCGGATGGACGAGCGCGGAAGCCCCAGCGATCGACCTGGCCGCGCGGCCCAAGGCGCGCGCCACAGACGCGCGCGCACGCTTGGCGGGCGCCTCGATCTGCAAGCCCAGGATAACAAGAGGGCGCCCGCACTCTGTCTTACGGTCCGCGATGGCCGCGTCGCCGAGCAGAGCGCGGACCACGCGGACCACGCATTGCAGCGCGTGCCTTGCCTGCGCGCGGACACGCCGGCTCAGCGCGGCCGCCGTCGCGCGCGTCGGCGCGGGCGGCGCCAGCGACGCCCGTTCGACGCTAAACAAATCGTCCACGTATCGCAGCAACGCAACCCGCAGCAGCTTGCGGCAGATGCGGGTGATCAACGCGCCGACCCGTTCCCAGTTGCGCACGCTGCTCGCTGACAAGGCAAGAGGGCCCCGCGACGGCGCGCGCGGGTCGCGCGCCCGCCTGCGCCGAAAGGAAGAGCCGTGTGCTGCGCGATGAGCACTGTATCGCCGTGGCGGAACGCGACCCACGCGAAGTCGCGGTCCCGTGGGCACAGCGGCACGCGGCGAAAAGCCGCGTCTATGTCTGCCTTGAACAGGAAGACATCTTCGCCGCCCGATGCTTCGTGCACCGTCTGAGCGACGTCGTAGAGCGAATCTATGGTATCGCGCCGCCACTTCTCCTGCGCGCGGCGACGCGCCGGCCTGCACCTCTGGCGGCGCGTGCCCTGCGGCCTGGGGCTGGGTCGCTCTGTTGAGGTCGGCGGCGCTGCAATCGTCCCCCGAACGTACCTGCCGCGCGAAGGGCGGCGACTGGGGCGCCGGCGCCAAGGTCGGCGCGCCTTGGGCGAGCCGTCCTCCTTGATACCCTGCGGGACGCCGAACCGCGGGAAGACGACGGCCCCGTCTGGCGGCGGCTCGGCCGCCGCGTCGCGCGGCACTGTCAGTCGCCCCAGCGCGGCGTCCGAACGCACGGTCGCGAGAAGCGCGTCGGAATGCAGATCATGTCTCGCGCGCTTCAGAACTTTGTCAGCAGACGTCTTGGCGCCCGCGACGCTTCGACACATCGGCGGGTCAGCTCCGCACGGCGCGCTTCGGGGGGGCCTGCCCTGAGCTCGTCTGCCGAGATGCAGCGCTTGTGGACGCGCGGCTCGCCCACTCCCGAGCGAGGGAGAACCCCGATCAGGGGGGCGCCCTGCCGCGGCCGCGCGGTTCGCCGAGGCGGGGCAAACGCGAGCTCGCCTGACGGAAAAATTCGACCACCTCGGCATCTGGATGGTCGCATTCGCGCGCTAACATGCGCAGCAGCGGGCCGTTCACGGACTCGGACACCCGCGCGACTGCGGGGTCACAGCCGCTGAACCACCGCGCACATTCGCCAGAGGCCCGGAGCTGAGCGCCCATATTTTCAATGCGTCTCGTGGCCGCCCCCCGATGAGCAATGACCTGCACGACGCGAAGCGCGCGCGTGCGCGCGCCAGCCGTGCGCGAGAGGGGTGGTTGGGGGGGGGCCGCGCCTCCTCGGCGGGCGTGGACGCGGCCCACTCGGCGGCCGCGCGCACGTCTTCCCCGATCGAGGACTCGCGCGCGAAGCCATCGCGGCCCAAGTCAAGAACTGACTGCATAAAACGCAGCTTGGCCTCATCGCCGGCGCTTGCGCGCGCCCTCTTGGCCCAGCCGCCGGCGTCGCCCGCGCCGGCGCGGGCGCGTTTCGAGAGACGCGTCATCTCAGAACGCTGCGAGGCGTCGCGCGTCGCGAGCTGGCACTGAATTGCGCGCGAGAAGGAAGAGCACGCGCCGGCGCGGGAAACGAGAGCGCGCGCCGGCCACAATTGTTCGACGTGAAGCACAAACGCGCCCGCGCTAGGTCCCGGCGGGCTCGTCTCGGCGAGCGGGCGGCCCGAAGCGGCCCGCTTCCCCGCGGCCCGAAGCCCAGGCTGTCACGGGCGAACGGGCGGCGGCGCCTGCGGTGGCGCACAATTCTCACCAGCGCGAGCGTTTCCACTTGGCGTTGCCCCTTCCGCTCTCCGCCGGGCGCTTCCCCCACGACGTCTCGCCGCGGCCCCCGCTGCTGCCCACGGCGGTCCACGCGCCGTCCGCGCCCTTGGCCCGCTGGGGGGGCGTGCCGCCGCCGCTCTTCGAGGGCCTGCTCGCGGGCTTAGCCGACCTGCCGGCGCGCGCGGCGAACAATCGCGCGGGCGCGTCGCCGCGGGCGGGCCTTTCGGCGCGGTCGCACGCCTGCTCGGCCCCGGTCAGCAGCTCGCGGCAAACCTTCCGCGCCGCCACGTCTACCTGGCGGCGCGGGCAACGGGCCGCGGGCCCCTCGCCGCGCGCGCGCGAGAAAGGCGCGCGCCGCGAAGTCCGGCACTCCCGCGGCTGCTTTCTCGGCCTAGTCCTTGCGGCAGCTCTCGTCGTAGAGCATGCCCAAATGGGCTTTCCCGCCGCCCAGGTGCGCGTTCATGGCCACCTGCGCGGACGAAGCGGCGCGCGACAGCGTGGCACCGATGGCGCGCGCGGGGGCGCCCTCATGCAAATTTGCTCGTGGGCCATGGCGGACACGTACGCCAGTTGGCCTGTCACGGCTGCACCAAATGCGTAACTCGCAGGAAGCCGAAAGGCGGCGTTGCGAAGCACGCTGCGCCGAACGCGCGCGGGGTACGCATCGATGGCCATGTGCCGCTCGTTCCATGTCAGCGCGTTGGCGCCGGCGGCGGGGGGCGCGTCCAACGGCGACCAATCGCGCAAGACCGCGCACGCGAAAGGGTTGCAGCTTCGCGACCTCGCCCGCAAGGGCGTCGACGCGCGCGCTCCTGACACCGCCGCGCAGACGTCGCGTCCGATCCAGCAAGCGGGTTCCGCGGACTCGCCTGGGCCACAGTGCCGGCGGGAGATCGTCGAGCTTGATCTCTTTCAGCCGTTGCCCCACGTCCACGTGGACGGCTGGGGCTTCCTCTCTCTTGAGCAGGCGGGAAAATTCG